CAGGAGGCATTTCCGTAGCCAGTGTGGCTCAAGCCATTTTTGGCTAAGGGGAGGCCTCTGTTGGTATTGTGTGACTGATGGCCGGCCAGCACACCACTGGCATGCTCAGCCCGCGCGCGATGTCTCAAGGCGAAGAGGCGGCTCCCGTCGAAAATGGAACGGGCAAGGCAGCGCACCCAGAGTCGAGCGGGCTCAGCTCGGCCCGCACGCAGTGCTCCGCGCCAGACCTGCTCCTGCTCGACTTCAGCGACGGCGAGGACGCTGTCGCGCACGAGAAGAGCTGGGGCTGCACCGCACCGCCGAGGGATGGCAGCGAGCCGGCGCCCTTCCGGGCGGCGCTCCGCGAGGCGGTGCCCCTCGGGGACCGGCGCCCTTCCAGGCGGGGGGGGCCTGCAGTGCCAGCGCCGGGGGGGGCTCCGCTCAAGCGCCTCCGGTCCGAGGCCTTCTGGGAGCAGAGGGCCGCCGCCGCCCGGAGGCCGAGGTGCTCGCCCTGGGAGCCGGGGGCGAGGCAGCGCCGCCCGTGCCTCGAGGCCGAGAGCCTCGCGCCAGCTGCAGGACGCCAGTAGTGCCATTGCGCGCGCCGCCGCCCTCAAGTCTGCACGAGACGTGATTCGCACCAGATGCGCGGTCCCGTGGGTGCTTCTGGCGCGGCGGATGAAGTCTATGCCTCCTGCCTCGCGCAGTGAGGCGTGAGGCCCCTGGGTCGTCTCCAAGGTTGCTTGCTGACTGCGCTGCTGCGAACCGCTTACAGCTCTCTGTTTGTAGTAAGCCTCAAAGGTGGACAATCGCATTCATTTCCAGAGGCCTTTTTACCAGGCTTCCTGATTTCCTGCAAGTGTTCAATGCCAAGTTGCTAGAGCTTGAGCCCCACGTGCTGACAGAAGGTACCACCACAGTCGTGACGGATTCGACAAGCTGGGTTTGCTCTTGCCAATTTGTGCGCGATTTTCTGTTTCGACTTGCTCGTGTCCCTTGCGCTCCCGACCCAGGACCCTTGGGCGTCCGTTTTCGCTGCCGAGGCCAAAGCCCTCGCGCCTTTTGTGCGTGCCGCAAGAAGGCGGCCATGCCTAGCTCGAGGAGTAGCATCGTGGTGCCTTGGCAAGCAGCCAAGGCGCGGGTGTGTCGACACCTCGTGGCAAAACAAATGCCCAGGAGGCATTGGAGATGATTCCTCAGACCCCAAGGTTCAAGCACACCCAAGAGGGGGTACAGCTGAAAAGGGGTGGTGCAATTGATCTGGGGCGCGTGTATTGGCAATGGACTGCGCCAGAGACCTGTATTGCATTGTATGGCAAGTAATGCATTGCGCGCGAAAGTCCAGCAACACAGTTGCGCCCCAGAATGTGTTGCACGCCCCAGACGCGTGGCAACCCCACAAAGGTATTGCACCACGTCTATTGCGCCGCCCCCTTGTCGCTGGACCCCCTTTCGGGTCATCCCGAGAGGTGGGCCCCAAGCGACCCTCATATCATCCACGGAACGTCCCTGGGACGCGAAAGCTGGGCGCCGCGTAATGGGGAGGTCATAAATGGGGGGGCGGCGAGGGTGGTCCGAGAAGGTTCCTCAAACGGTACCTAAACGAGCCCCCTGGGGCTCTGGAGGGGCCCGAAAGGGGCACGAAAGGGGACCTTTTCTGACCCCCTCATTTGTGACCCCCCCATTAAACCACGCCCAAGAAAGGCAACGCCAGTCTTTACAATGTTCGTACGCGTCCTTTGGCTCCAGACGGCTTCCACGCGTCCGCCGAGAGCGGCCCGAGAGGGCCCCGGCGCCCCCGAGGCGAGCCCAGCACTGCCTCAAGATGGTCCCCAATGCGGCCCTCAGGCCTTCAGCATCGGCTTCAGAGGGCCCGAAGGGTCCCCGCGAGGGCCCCAAGAGGCCCCATGAGGCCTCGAGAGATTTCTGCAAGAGCCCAACACGGCCCCTCAGAAAGCTCCCTCGACGCCCCGAGAGTCCTCGAAAGATTTCTGCAAGAGCCCAACACGGCCCCGCAGAAAGCTCCCTCGACGCCCCGAGAGGTCCCCCTCACCCTCCTGTGCCTCGCCACTCCCTGGAGAAGGAGCCAGGGCCCGCGTGTCGCCACTTCTGTTTTCACCCGGTCGGGGTCTGGTGTGGCCTCTCCCCCTTGCCAACCTTCGTCACGGCAGGGGCGGGCGGCGCGCTGCGAGGCCGAAGCGAAGCGCATGGACCACCTCGAGTCCTGCCTCGTGGGCCTGCAGGGCCACGTCGAGAGCGTGGAGCAGTCGGTCCGAGAGAAGGCCAGCGCCTCCCAGCTTCAGCAGATCAGGGGCGCCGTCGCGGGCGCAGAGGCGGCGCTGAAGGAGGCGCAGCAAGCCTTGCAGGAGAAGGCTCGTAAGAGAACAGCAGCACAGAGGTCGAATAGTAAAACGTATGTCTGTTAGCCTGCGTGGGCCCAAACCAGAGTGCGCCTAGCATTAAGTCGGGCCTGTCCCTCTACAGGGGGGAATATTCAAAAATCAAGAAAATAGTCTGGGGACTATTGTTTGATTGTTTTCTAGACTATTTGTGAATCGAGTATTTCTGTCGTTCAAAATCCCCCTGTAGGAGGACAGGCCCGAACTAAGCCTAACAATATTTGTTGTGCAATCTATGTGGTGCACTCTCTGGTGTGCAAGTTACGTGGTGCATTATTTGCGGTGCGCAATCTCTGCTGTGCGCAATCTCTGTGGTACAATCGAAGTGGTACACTCTACGTGGGGCAATCTGTGATGCAATAGATGTGGTGCAATATATGTTATGCAATTGACTACCCTGCACCGCGCTTGACCACCTCCACTGCTCACGCAAACATCCCACCCACCCACCCGCAACTTGGTTTGCAAAATCTCTTGAGACCGTGACAGTGGGTATCAAATGGCACTTGGCAACGACAGCGACGCCGACGACGACAGCGACAACGACGACGACGACGCCGACAACGACTACGACGACACCGACGACGTCTCCAACGACTTCGACGACGCCGACAACGACGACGACGACGACGACACCGACGACGACGATGACAACGACGACGACGATGACGACGCCGACGACGACAACGACGACACCGACGACGACGACGACGACTACGCCGGGACGACGTCGACGACGCCGACGCCGACGACGACGAAGACGACGACGACGCCGACCACGACGACGAAGACGACGACGACGTCGCCAACGAAGACGACGACGAGGGAGGAGGGAGGACGACGACGGCGACAACGACGACAACGACGAAGGGAGGAGGGAGGACGGCGACGACGCGAACGACGAAGAAGGAGGAAGGACGGCGACGCCGACGACGACAACGACGAGGGAGGAGGGAAGACGACGACGACGACGACGACGACGAAATAGGACGGACGACGACGAGACGCCGACGACGGACGACGACGACGACGAGGGAGGAGGAGGAAGGACGACCACGGCGACAACGACGACGGAAACGACCATGACGCCAAAGAGGACGACGACGACGAACACGAGGAAAGACAGAGGACGACGTAGGCGACGACGACGACGACGCGGGAGGAGGGGGGACTGCGACAACGACGACGACGACGCAAGAGCGTGCGCGCACGCTTTTGTTGAACATCCGTGTGGCGAAACCTTGTGTCTTTGTAGGTTTTTTGGACACGATTTTGAACTTCTTCCGAAACCGATGGGTTTCGAACGATTTCGGCATACGCGCGCGACGACGCGCGCGTCTGCACTTCGTCGAATTTTTTGCAGCGGATTCTCGCGACGGCACACGCGCAAGGGCGTTCGACAGATTTCGACATGTGCGCGCGCGAAGCACGTTTGGTAGCATGTTGCGAAATTCTTGAAAAACGTATGGTTTCCTTTAGATTTCGCAAGAGCTCGCGCGTAAGCTTTTTTAGTAATTCCGTGTTGCGAAACCCTTGGTGTTTGTATGTTTTTTTGGAAACTCGATTGCGAAATCTTTCCGACACCGAAGGTTTTTGAAGGATTTCGGCATGCGCGCGCGACGACGCGCGCGTGTGCACTTCGTCTCTTTTTTTTGCAAAGGGATTCGCGAAACAAGTATTATGTAGGAACAAAAGGTGTCCCCGCGTTTCGTTCTTTACAAGGGAGCCTCAGGTGGACCGATACCGGTTCCCTGGGGATAGTGTAAATTCACATTTAGGATGGACATTTGGTCATTATCATATATGATTTACATACCCGACAGGGGGGCGGCGAACGCCCGGGGGGGGGGAGAGTCTAATCTCTTTTTAGAAAGGAGAATATATGCTGTGCAATGTATGAGAAGCAATCTCTATGGTGCAATCAACTGGATTGCAGCGGGGGGGTCGTTGCATCGGGGCGACGGCCACGGGACGGGGCAGCGACGGCGATTATCTAGCCGCCAGACTGGCGGCCAGGCCCACACGACGGGCGGCGACGGGGCGGCGACGGCGACAACATGGCCGCCAGACCGGCGGTGATGCCCAGCTCCGTTAACAGAAGTAGGGACCCGTATGTGCAAGCACTGTTTGGAGAAAGTGACATGACGGTAGACTTTCGGAGGTGTGCGCGGATCTCTGAGATCGACGTTCGCCTTCACTGGCGGCGCCTCCGGCGCCCCCCCTTGGCGCGCTGGCTGCGCGCGCCAGAAAACCACTGACCTCCGACAGCTGTTCTCTATGCAGGGACGAAGCGACATAATATAGCATCACCAATCAGAAGATCAAAGCATACAGTGGAGACCCAGGCCGAGACACACCCTGTTTGCCTCCAGGGTGCCCCGGGTGTCGTGGGATTCGGTGGTTTTGCGATGGAAAGCGTGACGTTCCCACACAAATTCAATGGACGCCCTGGGGTCTCAGGGTTGGGTTTCTTGTGGGACGTTTCTTGTGGTCGGGCATCCACTGTAAGTGGCAGTTCGCGCCGCAGGCTGTGCGTCGGGTGTTACTGCCTCTCGGTCTTGTGGCGGTTGGGAATGCCTCGTGTTTCTTCCTGCCCCTCGGTCTTGTGGCGATCGGCGAGGAACAGTGTGCCCAGCCGATGGCATAATTACACGTCTCTTCATTCCCCGTTGGGCATGCCGCAGGCATGCGCTGGGCAGTTCCGGCAGCTCGTCGGGACCCTCTCTGGCGTAGAGGCCAAGCTGGCCGGGGTCGAGCAGGCGCTGCAGGAGAAGGCTGGCAACGGCCAGCTCCAGCAGGTGAAGAGCATCGCGATGGGCATCCAGACGCAGGCTGCCTCTTCAGTCCCCTCGGCCCTCGGGTGGGCGAGCTGGAAGGCGATTCTGTCGAATTCAAGGCTGTCCAAGCGAGCCCCAGTCATGCTGTACGGTCGTTCTCTTGGCGCTTCAGCCCCACCCCAGCAGCGCCCCCGCGGCATTCCACGCGGGTCGCAGTCGCAGTCGCAGTCGGGGGGGCCGATGGTGTCCCACCAAGCGTTCTCCTCTCACGAGTTTTCGTCGCGATGGCTCAGGGTATGCGCAGACCTTTGTGGGCCCCGGAAACGGCAGGGCCGTTTTTTCACCGTTTCCCCAAAAAAGTGTCCCTTGAAAATGGAAACGGCAAAAAAAAAAATGGCGACCGAAAACGGCAAAAAAACGGCTCCAGGATTGGAACCGGAGCCGGAACCGGTCAAACAACGGCGACGGAACCGGTAAAAAACGGCGTCGGAACCGGCAACAAAAACGGCAAAACGGAACCGGTAAAAAACGGCCCTGTCGTTTCCAGGTCCCACTAAGGCGCAGTCCCACGAGGCGGGGGGGAAGAGGCAGAGGTCCCGATTCGGCGGCGCGCCCAGGGGGAAGTGAGAAGGGGCAGACCCTCTCAGGAGGCAGGGGGGGCTGTTCAGAAGCCGCCCGGCCTTCTGAGGAGCCGCCTGCGCCTCCAGAGACTCAGGCTCGGAAACATTTGTCGGAAGGCCCCTCCCTCCTCCGGCCCCCCTGCTGTTCTCTTTCGTTCCTCCTCCTCCTCCTCCTCCTCCTCCTCCTCGGACTCCTCCTCCTCCTCCTCCTCCTCCTCCTCCTCCTCCTCCTCGGACTCCTCCTCTTCGGTCTCCTGCGTTCTCTTCCTGTTGCCGCTCGTGTAGCGCCAGTAGACAGATAAAAAAAAACAGCTCGTCGGGAGGGCGGCGGCCCCGCCGAGACTTCTGAAGAGAAGCCCTGCCCCCTCTCTCGCTTTCCCCCCCCCCCCCCCGGGGCGCGCCGCCGGCAGGCGGGCGGGCCCGCCTGAGACATCCCGCCCCGCACAGGCCTGCGCCCTCGAGCAGGGGCTGCGGGACAAGGCCGCGGGCTCGTGCGCTGCCCTGGAGCGCGCGCGTCCGCGGGCCCCCCCTCCTCCGCCTCCGCCTCCTCCTCCGCCTCCTCTCCGCCTCTCCTCCTCCTCCTCGCTCCTCCTTCTCCTCCTCCTCCTCTCCTCCTCCTCCTCCTCCTCCTCCTCCTCCTCCTCCTCCTCCTCCTCCTCCTCCTCCTCCTCCTCCTCCTCCTCCTCCTCCTAGCCGTTCTGCGCTCAAGCTGAGTTTTGCAGGCGCGTTTCTTCAGAGCGGCTCGCGTCTGCGGGCCAAAGTGTCTCGGCGGGAGGCCCTATCCTCCCAAACTTTTCCACGATTCCTCACAGGCAGCTGCGATGGGGTATCAGTGGGCATCAGGGCGTTGGTCAGCGCACAGTCCTCCTTGGCGTGGTGATCAGCCTGCTGGTGTGCCTCCTGGACCTCAGCTTCCCCTTCCTCTGCAGCCTGGAGCGCAACTCTGGCCAGGGCCAGCTGCCGCGCACCAGCCGTCAGGAGGTGGAGGCCAGAAATGGGCATGCTCCAAGTGCCCATGCCGTCGCAACGCTGCTACCGCCGCTTTCTGCAAGCACTGCAAGGCCCCGCGCGAGTACTACCCGTCGGCCCCTGGCTGGCAATACGGTGCTCCTGGGTCTGCTCAACCACCTGGCTTCTTCGGCTTGCCTCGTCAGGCCCCTGTGTTTCCTGGTGGTCGAGCCCCTGCTCCACCTGATGGTCCCCAAGCCGAGCCCCTACCCGATGCTGGTGGCATGGATGACAAGGAGCTCGAGGTTTTGGTGGCCAGCCTTGGTAAGGCAGGCGATGCAGTCGGCGCAAAGAAGTTTCAGGCTGTTCTGGACGCGAGGAGAGCACCTGTGCTCGAGGTGCCAGTGGAGCGCAAAGTCAATCAAGCTTTCCACACTCTTCGCGCCGCTGAACAACGCCTACAGAAGAACGTCACGCTTTTCACCAACCTGGAGCAGTCTTTGGAGGCACAGCGCAAGCTTGTGGTCGTGGCCAACGACGAGTACAAGCAGGCAGAGCTGGAGCACCAGCGTTTGGTTGCGGAGCTGGCCAAGAAGTCGGGGCCGAAGACGGGACCTCCGCCCAAGCCTCAGGTCACGGTCAAAGATATTATGGACGGCAAGACACACGAGCTTATCACGCTCGGCGATATGTTCTCTTTCGGTGATGACGAGTACGAGCTTTCCACGGAAGATAAGCAGGCAGCAGACTCCTTGGTCGAGCAGCTCAATGCTGGCCTCAAGGAGGCCACCACGAAGGTCTTCGCTGAGGCGGCGGCTGCGGTGGAGAGAGCTAAAGCTGATCATCAGGCGCTGCTGGAACGTCTGGCAGGGAAGCGTCGTCGTCGCGATGAGACTGCAGGTGGACCTGGCCAGGTACCTCCTCATCAGCCAGGTGACGCCGCGGCCCCGCCGCCTGCCGCCGCTGCCTCTGAGGGAGGGGGAGCGGGCGGTTCGGGTGGGGGGAACGGGGCTCCATCAGCTGACAGCTCGTCGGCCACTTTGCGTGCTGCCGCCAGTATTGTGGCTGGTGGTTCCAGCACTGGCAAACAGAATTCCTAGCAGGGTTGAGGCCGAAGCCTCACTGTATCACGTACACCCGATGTTTATATCTTTGGCTGACGCCATCTCAGCTCGGCCTCCTGTGGAGATTGTGAGGCAAGAGCGAGTGAAGTTTTGCTCGAGTGGCCCTACCTGTCTCAAGCGTGGTCACGCGATTCAGGCCAGGGTTGCTCAGATCACTTCTCTGCCTGGACCTCGGGACCCTGTTTATGTGAAGCCCTTTGTTGCCCAGGATACCCCTCCTCACGTTGATGCGGTCGCCTTATCTTTTGAGACCTGCAACGTGTCGGGGTGGAAATCCTCAGGCAAGTCTTGGCTCTCCAGATCCCAGGCCCATATTGTAGTTTTGCAAGAGCACCACTTAGCCTCTCAGGAGGACATCCTCCAAGCCTCTGCCTGGGCCCTTCGAGCGGGGTGGAAAAGTTTGTGGGAGCCAGCCTTGGAGTCTGAGTCAGGAGGTACGTCTGGAGGGGTTGCTATCCATTGTCGCAGTTGGCTGGGCCTCCATCGTCTCCCAGACGTCTCCAAGTTGTTGCGCCGCGTGATGGGCGCGGCCGTTCAGATTCCTGGGGGTTTGGAGGTCTCGGTTTTCTCGGTTTACATGCAGGACGGTAAGAAGCTGGAAGAGCCCAACAGCACGCTCTTAGCCGACCTCGGGGCGGCAGTCTCATCTTGTGGTTCATCTTGGCTGATTGGCGGCGACTTTAATTTCCACCCGGCCTTGCTGCAAGAGTCAGGATTTGACGTTCGATCTGAAGGACGGGTAGTTTTTCCTGATGTCGTGGGGACCTGTACGACTACGGGGGGTTTACGTTTAAGCGATTTCTTCGTGTGCAGTCGAGGCCTTAGTTCGGCTATTCGGGGGGTTTCGGTGATCTCCGAATCCGACCTCTCTCCTCACTCGCCCGTTCGGCTTACCCTCTTCCCTCAGATCGGACGGCTGCGTTCGCTCGCGTTCAGGAAGCCTCCTAGGATCCCTGTCGAGAAGATGGTGGGTCCGCAGCTGGCTCCCCCCGATCTGGCGAGCCTTCTTGCCAAGCTTCAGAGCGGTGTCGACACTGCTCGATCTGGCGATGGGTTGCGCACGCAGGAGATTTTAGACCAGTGTTATGGGGATTGGGCCGATGCGGCCGAAGTCGAACTCACTCGTGCCACTGGGGTCGACCTCCCGCGGATGGGCCTTCGGGGCCAGCCCCCCAAATTGGTGTGGCGTTCGGTTATGGATCAGGACGTTCGCAACCCTCGCAACCCGTCCCTTTTCGCCACCAGATGGCTTTGGCAGCGTTTTCAGGTGCTTGTCGGTCTGCTCAGACAGGGAGCGCCGCTTGAGGCGGCCACTCAACCTCTCCTCCAGCCTTCGGCGTCTATCTCGAGCGCGCTGGTGGAGCGCGCGTTGCTGCTCCGCGACGTTCAAGCCTTTGCTGCGAAGGCCGAGTTGTCCCCGAGCACGGTGGACATGGAGGAGGCGCAAGTTTTAAAAGATCGTATCCGTGGAGCCCTGGACCAGACCATCCATGAAACTCGCTCGGCCTCCCAGGCGTCCTGGAAGCAGTGGGTTTTGGAAGGGTTCAATAAAGGGGCCAAGCGGGCCCACTTGGTTACTCGTGATCCTAAATCCTTTGTGCCCACCACCACCCTCATTGATGGAGACCGTGTTGTTAGCGACCCCCACAACCTTCTTCAGCGTGAGGAGAGCAGGTTCAAGGCCCTCTGGAGGGCCCAGGTGACGGCCCCGACACCTCCCGCCACCTTCGATCCTGCCCCTGATCTCCCTCCCATCAGCCCTGATGAGATAAGGAGTGTCTGTGGGAAGCATAAACTTTTCTCGGCCGTCTCGACGGACGGCTTCCACGTCCGCCATTTTGCCTGGCTGTCTGAAGCCAGCTTGCAGTGCCTGGCTCTCATTATGCAGATGATGGAGATCTCCTCTTTTCTCCCTTCTCATATTCGAGTTGTCATCCTTCACCTGATCCCCAAAGCTCTTCCAGGTCTCAGGCCCATTGGTTTGTTCGGGGGCCTTTATCGGGCCTGGGCTAAAATTCGGAGGCCGCTTGGTTTGGCCTGGGAGGAGGCCAACTACAGGCCTTGGTTTGCCGCGGGACGTTTTATGGGAGCTGCTGACACGGTGTGGCGACAAGCTGCACGGAGTGAAGGGGGGGTGGCCGCTGGCCTCTTTGCCGTCACTCTGCTGTGGGATTTTCAGAAATATTATGAAAGCATAGATCTCGACCGTATGCTGGGCAGGTGTCTGCTTTTGGGCTTTCCCGCTGCGGTGGCGCGTCTCTGCTGTTCAGCGTACAGATGTGCGCGTCACATCGTGTTAGGTGGTTTCATGACGGACGCCACTTTCGCCAGCTTCGGCATCGTGGCCGGCTGCTCGTTTGCAACGACGCTTATTCGAGTCAACAGCCTGGAAGCCCTCGACCAGATCGAATGGCCCATTTGTACTACGTACGCTCTTTATATTGACGACAACGCAGTTCACGCCATTGGATCGGAGGTCGAGGTGCTCGAAGGGCTGGTCTCCGCCAGTTCGCAGTTGGTCGTCGCCATCTCTGAGGGGATCGGCGCCACCCTGGCCGAGGACAAAGGGGCTCTAATATCGTCCGACAGGAAACTTGGCTGTAAGGTCCAGGAGGCCATTGGGGTGGCCCTCGCGGGGCCCTTGGTTTCTTCGGCCCCGAATTTAGGCGTCGACGACACGGTCGGTCGCCCAGTTCGTCAGCAAGGTCGTAATGCTAAAGCCAAAGCCCGTCGTATCAAGGCTTCTCGTCGTGGTAGGCGCGTGGGGAGACTCGCTCGCACGGTTGGACGCAAGGCTCGGAATGTCTGGTGCTCTGGGGTCCTTCCTGCTGCCACTTACGGCGCCGAAATCTCTGGGATCTCCGACGGGGAACTTTTGGCTTTAAGACGGTCCTTTGCCAGCACTATCAAGCCGAGTGCGGGTGACCGCTCGCTTTCGATTCTTTTGCATCTGGAAGAGGACCCCACCTGGGCGGTTCAGATTGCTCCGATTTGTAGGTGGCATAAGGAACTCTGGCACGCCCATTTGTCCTCTCACCCCTCGGTTTTGAGTTTTGCTGAAATGAGAGAAGTGTGGGGGTCGGTTTTTGGTTTGGAATCCAAGTCTTGGAGATCGGTTTCAGGTCCAATCTCAGCCATGAGGAAAAGTCTCGAGAGGATCAGTTGGCAGATGCCCAACTTCGCCACGCTGATAGACGATCGCGGCGTGGAGCTGCCGTTGCTGTGCCTGTCGCCTGCTCTCGTGCGCCGTCTCGCCATGGAGGCGGTCTTCAGACAGCTGGAGTGGATGATTGGAGGTAAGCTTTTTCTCCCTGGTCGGGGCTGCCTCGATGTCGTCCATGAAGCTCTAGCGACCAAACGTTTTTCTCCGCTTGAAAAGGGCATTATCCGAGCCTGGAGCACGGGTGCGGTGTGGACTCGCATCTACGCCAGGTCCAAAGGGTACGAGTTCCCAGAGTTTTGTGAGTTGTGTGGGAAGGCTCGTGACACTATGTACCACAGGTTATGGGTATGTCCTTGTTTGGACGCCAAACGTCGTGAAGCAGTGGGGGATGAGATCGTCGACGGGGTGACGGACTTCGTTTCGCAGGGAAGACATCGCTTGACTATGGTTACCCGAGGCATCCTGGCTCATCCTGGTGACGAACACCCCCCCCCGCTCGAAGAGGGTTCCTGGGACGTCTCGTGGCGTGGGGACCCGCCTGGTGACAATGTTTTTAGCCTCCAGGGGAAAGTTTTTGTGGACGGTTCCTGCTCTCGGCACGTTATAAAAGAGCTGAATCGTGCGTCCTGGTGTGCGGTTTTGTTTTCCGACGAAGATGAGCTGCTGTGTACTATGAGATGCCCTGTGTGGGCCCCGCTCCCCCAGACCCCTCAAGCCGGCGAGTTTTCGGGATACTGGGGGGCGGTCATGTGTCTCACGGGCCCCAGCTCGATCATCACCGATTGTGCCAACGTTGTCACTCAACATGAGCTTCCAAGAGATGCTCAAACCTTTTTCAAACGTATGTACTCTGGTGTCTTTGTTCAGCTTTTGTCCAGGCCCGAGCGTCGTCACATTCGTGATGTGCTCAAAATTAAGGCTCACCAATCCTTGGCTGAGGATGGCATCTCAGCCCAGGAGGAAGCCGCTCGTCTAGGGAATCGCTTGGCCGACCAAGGGGCTAAGGAGGCCCTTGCTTTTCATCCCTCAGACTCAAATGTGCTGGAAGAAGCTAACGAGAGTGTGAAGTTTGCCAGGGCTGCCTGCAAGCTCGCGGCTAAGTTGCTGCCAGAGTTTTCTGCTCTCAGCTCTATCAAAGATGTGCCTTACCTCCCTGTGGTGAACGTGCCCAAAGCTTCTTCTGGTAACGTTCACAAGTGGTTTAGGTTTGAAGGCTTTTGGCGCTGCTCTCGGTGTTTCCAGATTCGTCGGCCTCGGGACGGTTCGAAACCCCTTCCTGGTCGTTGTTCTGGTTTAAGAGCCTGCAGTGCCGACAAGCTCACTGCCCTTCAGCACAAGTGTGTGATGTTCCCGTGCAGCGACGGGTCTGAGCTTGTGATTTGTATGAAGTGTAAGTTTTACTCCTCCCACGGTACCCTCCGTGGACTGGCTGCTCGCTGCGACCCCCCTCCCAGTAAGTTCGGAGTATGGGTTTGGCAGCAGATCTGCAAGAG